TTCAGTCTTTGAGCCAGTCTTTCAGTCAGTCTTTGAGTCAGTCGTTTAGTCAGTCTTTGAGTCAGTCCTTGAGTCAGTCTTTCAGTCAGTTTTTCAGTCAGTCTTTGAGTCAGTCTTTGAGTCAGTCTTTGAGTCAGTCATTGAGTCTTTGAGTCAGTCTTTGAGTCTTTGAGTCAGTCTTTCAGTTTGTCTTTGAGTCAGTCTTTCAGTCAGTTTTTCAGTCAGTCTTTGAGTCAGTCTTTGAGTCCGTCTTTGAGTCTTTGAGTCAGTCTTTCAGTCAGTCTTTGAGTCTTTCAGTCTTTGAGTCAGTCTTTCAGTCAGTCAGTCGAGTCAGTCTTTGAGTCAGTCTTTGAGTCAGTCTTTGAGTCTTTCATTCAGTCTTTGAGTCAGTCTTTGAGTCAGTCTTTGAGTCAGTCTTTGAGTCAGTCTTTCAGTCTTTAAGTCAGTCTTTCAGTCTTTGAGTCTTTCAGTGTTGAGTCTGTCTTTCAGTCTTTGAGTCTTTCAGTCTTTGAGTCAGTCTTTGAGTCTTTCAGTCTTTGAGTCAGTCTTTCAGTCTTTGAGTCTTTGAGTCAGTCTTTCAGTCTTTGAGTCAGTCTTTCAGTCTTTGAGTCTTTGAGTCAGTCTTTCAGTCAGTTTTTCAGTCAGTCTTTGAGTCTTTCAGTCTTTGAGTCAGTCTTTGAGTCAGTCTTTGAGTCAGTCTTTGAGTCAGTCTTTCAGTCATTGAGTCAGTCGTTGAGTCTTTGAGTCTTTCAGTGTTTGAGTCTGTCTTTGAGTTAGTCTTTGTGTCAGTCTTTCAGTCTTTGAGCCAGTCTTTCAGTCAGTCTTTGAGTCAGTCGTTTAGTCAGTCCTTGAGTCAGTCTTTCAGTCTTTCAGTCAGTCTTTGAGTCAGTCTTTCAGTCAGTTTTTCAGTCAGTCTTTGAGTCTTTCAGTCTTTGAGTCAGTCTTCGAGTCAGTCTTTCAGTCTTTGAGTCAGTCGTTGAGTCAGTCTTTGAGTCTTTGAGTCAGTCTTTGAGTCTTTGAGTCAGTCTTTCAGTTTGTCTGTGAGTCAGTCTTTGAGTCAGTCTTTCAGTCAATTTTTCAGTCAGTCTTTGAGTCAGTCTTTGAGTCTTTGAGTCCGTCTTTGAGTCTTTGAGTCAGTCTTTCAGTCAGTCTTTGAGTCTTTCAGTCTTTGAGTCAGTCTTTCAGTCAGTCAGTCGAGTCAGTCTTTGAGTCAGTCTTTCAGTCTTTGAGTCAGTCTTTGAGTCAGTCTTTGAGTCTTTCAGTCTTTGAGTCAGTCTTTCAGTCTTTGAGTCAGTCTTTGAGTCAGTCTTTCAGTCAGTCTTTCAGTCTTTGAGTCAGTCTTTCAGTCTTTGAGTCTTTCAGTGTTTGAGTCTGTCTTTGAGTCAGTCTTTGTGTCAGTCTTTCAGTCTTTGAGTCAGTCTTTCAGTCAGTCATTGAGTCAGTCGTTGAGTCAGTCTTTGAGTCTTTGAGTCAGTCTTTCAGTCAGTTTTTCAGTCTTTGAGTCAGTCTTTGAGTCTTTCAGTCAGTCTTTGAGTGTTTCAGTCTTTGAGTCAGTCTTTGAGTCTTTCAGTCTTTGAGTCAGTCTTTGAGTTAGTCTTTCAGTCAGTCTTTGAGTCGGTCTTTGAGTCAGTCTTTGAGTCATTGAGTCAGTCGTTGAGTCTTTGAGTCTTTCAGTGTTTGAGTCTGTCTTTGTGTCAGTCTTTGTGTCAGTCTTTCAGTCTTTAAGCCAGTCTTTCAGTCAGTCTTTGAGTCAGTCGTTTAGTCAGTCTTTGAGTCAGTCCTTGAGTCAGTCTTTCAGTCAGTCTTTGAGTCAGTCTTTCAGTCAGTCTTTCAGTCAGTTTTTCAGTCAGTCTTTGAGTCTTTCAGTCTTTGAGTCAGTCTTTGAGTCAGTCTTTGAGTCAGTCATTGAGTCAGTCTTTCAGTCAGTCTTTCAGTCAATCGTTGAGTCAGTCTTTGAGTCAGTCTTTCAGTTTGTCTGTGAGTCAGTCTTTGAGTCAGTCTTTCAGTCAGTTTTTCAGTCAGTCTTTGAGTCTTTCAGTCTTTGAGTCAGTCTTTCAGTCAGTCTTTGAGTCAGTCTTTCAGTCAGTCTTTGAGTCTTTGAGTCAGTTTTTCAGTCAGTCTTTGAGTCAGTCTTTGAGTCAGTCTTTGAGTCTTTCAGTCAGGCTTTGAGTCAGTCTTTCAGTCAGTCTTTGAGTCAGTCTTTGAGTCAGTCTTTCAGTCTTTGAGTCAGTCTTTGAGTCAGTACTTGAGTCAGTCTTTCAGTGTTTGAGTCAGTCTGTGAGTCTTTGAGTCAGTCTTTGAGTCAGTCTTTCAGTCTTTGAGTCAGTCTTTGAGTCAGTCTTTGAGTCAGTCGAGTCAGTCTTTGAGTCTGTCTTGAAGTCAGTTTTTGAGTCAGTCTTTGAGTCTTTCAGTCTTTGAGTCAGTCTTTAAGTCTTTCAGTCTTTGAGTCAGTCTTTGAGTCTGTCTTTGAGTCTTTGAGTCAGTCTTTGAGTCTTTGAGTCAGTCTTTGAGTCAGTCTTTCAGTCTTTGAGTCTTTGAGTCAGTCGTTGAGTCAGTCTTTGAGTCAGTCTTTGAGTCTTTGAGTCAGTCTTTCAGTCTGTCTGTGAGTCAGTCTTTGAGTCAGTCTTTGAGTCAGTCTTTGAGTCTTTCAGTCTTTGGGTCCGTCTTTGAGTCAGTCTTTCAGTCAGTCTTTCAGTCAGTCTTTGAGTCAGTCTTTGAGTCAGTCTTTCAGTCAGTCTTTCAGTCAGTCTTTCAGTCTTTGAGTCAGTTTTTCAGTCAGTCTTTGAGTCAGTCTTTGAGTCAGTCTTTCAGTCAGTCTTTGAGTCTTTCAGTCAGTCTTTGAGTCAGTCTTTGAGTCTTTGAGTCAGTCTTTTAGTCTTTGAGTCAGTCTTTGAGTGAGTCTTTCAGTCAGTCGTTGAGTCTTTGAGTCAGTCTTTGAGTCAGTCTTTCAGTATTTGAGTCAGTCTGTGAGTCTTTGAGTCAGTCTTTGAGTCAGTCTTTCTGTCTTTGAGTCAGTCTTTGAGTCAGTCTTTCAGTCTTTGAGTCAGTCTTTGAGTCAGTCTTTCAGTCAGTCAGTCGAGTCAGTCTTTGAGTCAGTCTTGAAGTCAGTTTTTGAGTCAGTCTTTGAGTCTTTCAGTCTTTGAGTCAGTCTTTGAGTCAGTTTTTAAGTCTTTCAGTCTTTGAGTCAGTCTTTGAGTCTTTGAGTCAGTCTTTGAGTCAGTCTTTCAGTCAGTCTTTGAGTCTTTCAGTGTTTGAGTCAGTCTTTGAGTCTGTCTTTGAGTAAGTCTTTCAGTGTTTGAGTCAGTCTTTGAGTCTGTCTTTGAGTAAGTCTTTCAGTCTTTGAGTCAGTCTTTCAGTCTTTGAGTCAGTCTTGAAGTCAGTTTTTGAGTCAGTCTTTGAGTCTTTGAGTCAGTTTTTAAGTCTTTCAATCTTTGAGTCAGTCTTTGAGTCAGTCTTTGAGTCAGTCTTTGAGTCAGTCTTTGAGTCTTTCAGTGTTTGAGTCTGTCTTTGAGTAAGTCTTTGAGTCAGTCTTTGAGTCAGTCATTGAGTCAGTCTTTCAGTCAATCTTTGAGTCTTTCAGTCAGTCTTTGAGTCAGTCTTTGAGTCTTTCAGTCTTTGAGTCAGTCTTTGAGTCTTTGAGTCAGTCTTTGAGTCAGTCTTTCAGTCAGTCTTTGAGTCTGTCTTTGAGTCTGTCTTTGTGTCAGTCTTTCAGTCTTTGAGTCAGTCTTTCAGTCTTTGAGTCAGTCTTTGAGTCAGTCTTTGAGTCAGTCTGTGAGTCAGTCTTTCAGTCAGTCTTTGAGTCAGTTTTTCAGTCAGTCTTTGAGTCTTTCAGTCTTTGAGTCCGTCTTTGAGTCAGCCTTTGAGTCAGTCTTTGAGTCAGTCGAGTCAGTCTTTGAGTCAGTCTTTGAGTCAGTTTTTGAGTCAGTCTTTGAGTCAGTCTTTCAGTCTTGAGTCTTTCAGTCAGTCTTTCAGTCTTTGAGTCTTTGAGTCAGTCTTTCAGTCTTTGAGTCAGTCTTTGAGTCAGTCTTTCAGTCTTTGAGTCAGTCGTTGAGTCTTTCAGTGTTTGAGTCAGTGTTTGAGTCTGTCTTTGAGTCAGTCTTTGTGTCAGTCTTTGAGCCAGTCTTTCAGTCAGTCTTTGAGTCAGTCTTTGAGTCTTTGAGTCCGTCTTTGAGTCTTTGAGTCAGTCTTTCAGTCAGTCATTGAGTCAGTCTTTGAGTCAGTCTTTCAGTCAGTCTGTGAGTCAGTCTTTGAGTCAGTCTTTGAGTCCGTCTTTGAGTCTTTGTGTCAGTCTTTCAGTCAGTCTTTGAGTCAGTCTTTGAGTAAGTCTTTGAGTCTTTCAGTCAGTCTTTGAGTCTGTCTTTGTGTCAGTCTTTGAGTCTTTCAGTCAGTCTTTGAGTCCGTCTTTCAGTCTTTGAGTCAGTCTTTCAGTCTTTGAGTCAGTCTTTAAGTCAGTCTTTGAGTCTTTGAGTCAGTCTTTCAGTCTTTGAGTCAGTCTTTGAGTCAGTCTTTCAGTCTTTGAGTCTTTGAGTCAGTCTTTGAGTCAGTCTTTGAGTCTTTCAGTCAGTCTTTCAGTCAGTCTTTGAGTCTTTGAGTCAGTCTTTAAGTCAGTCTTTGAGTCTTTGAGTCTTTGAGTCAGTCTTTCAGTCTTTACAGTCTTTGAGTCAGTCTTTGAGTCTTTGAGTCAGTCAGTCTTTGAGTCAGTCTTTGAGTCAGTCAGTATTTGAGTCTTTCAGTCAGTCTTTCAGTCTTTGAGTCTTTGTGTCAGTCTTTGAGTCAGTCTTTCAGTCTTTGAGTCTTTGTGTCAGTCTTTGAGTCAGTCAGTCTATCTTTGAGTCATTGAGTCAGTCTGTCTTTGAGTCAGTCTTTCAGTCAGTCTTTGAGTCGGTCTTTGAGTCAGTCTTTGAGTCGGTCTTTGAGTCAGTCTTTCAGTCTTTGAGTCGGTCTTTGTGTCAGTCTTTGAGTCAAAAATACATGTTATAAAAAAGACGAAATAGTTTGGATTTCACAAATTATTTGTTTGCAAGTTATAGATTTATTTTTCAGATTACATTTATTTTGCGTGACTGAGTTTTTTTTCCTTTCTCTTAAACTGTTAGTTTTGCTTGATGTTAATGGCACAAACCTGATTCCATACTGCAAAAGCACAGGACTAGACAAGGAGAAAGAGGTGAATCATTGGGGGGGGGAATATTGAGTTGCATTCACATGTGATCAATCATTATTTAAAATGTGGTTATTTGTCAGCCATCATTATATGCACATCTTTACCAGTTTGAAACCAAATTGAAGAAATTGTAGTGTGAACTCATTGAATCATAATCACGATAAAAAGGCAACCAATTGTACCCATAAAGCTCAGTTTACTCGTCACATGGAGTACCTGATCCTGTGGTAAAATGCATTCTTTGTCTTGTCTTAAACATCCCAATGCTTAGAGACGGAAATTGGAGTTGGAAAGACGGTTTCTTAATTCTTGCAGAGAGTTGGATAAGAATATCGATACCACTCCCTTCAATATGAAGCTACAGGTAGCTTAGCTTAGCATAAAGACTGGAGGAAAAGTGCTGGACTATTTATTGGACTAGAGATTGTGCGCATGAAAATATACTGAATGAAAGTGATTTATGTTTTCAGTATGTTCGATAGTTATTGGGGGTAAAAGGCTCTGAAAAAGTGTGAGTGATGTGTTTGAACTAACTTCACATTTAACATTTCTTATTTGTGCACAGGAGTAACTTAAAAATGTCCCATTATTGTGTGGATTACGCAACACGGCATCAGTTTAATGACATTTAATGGATTGGTAGTCACATTAAATCAAATGTAATGATACTACACGCCACAGTCTAGATGAAGAAGCTTTTAACTGTTAAACTCTCAAAGGTAGTACCTAAAAATATCTGATTGCTCATTTAGTCATGGATGTTAAGTACGTTTAAATAGCGATCAAATATTCTTCTACATTCCAGTACACTCAATTACAACATTTCACAGCATTACATTTACCAGGCAGTATTCCAATTCGTTTTCGTTATGTTGGATATCTTGTTATAGGAAAGGAAGTACTTTTAAAGTGTGATACCAAAGCTTGGAAAAAGAAAAATAACCAGCAGAAAACAGACTATGTTAAGGCCTTTGAAATAGAGAAACGTTATCTGTACAAGAGTATGTTTCCATTGACATTGGATTATAAAAAAACAGCTGATCAGGAGTAGAAGAGCTTGTCCTGAAAATCATGAGAATCCAGAAGCTTCCATGCTGTCTTTACTGTCCTTCTGTTGCATTCATCTGTTGGTCAGCGCACACACACACACACACACACTTTAATCTACAATATCAACATCCAAGATACAGACTGAAGAAACTAGGTTTTGAATGCAGAATTTTTCCAAAGTGGTTTGTGGTAGATCCAGCCTTCACCCTGGAGGAGAAGAAGAGATATATTATTATTTATGTACCAGTTACAGGAAACAAAGACGTTATATCTCTCACAGGCTCCGCCCTCTACTGGACTCTATGGGTACTACCTTATCATGCAAGCATTCACCTACTGAGATTTCTATAGACGTAGCCGGCCCCGGGGCGGGCCTACCTGAATGCGCGCGCATCTCACTTCCGTATAAAATGAGGCCTCGCCTCCTGACCATCATCTTTTACTCTTCAGCGAGCGGAAGTGACACTGAGAACTATCTGACGTCTGAAAGAAGAAGAAAGAGTTATCATACCTCCAGGGAGTAGAGACTGTCCTTCGTGCCCTGGCTTAAATAGCGGGCGCCGATCCCCACCACCTCTGCTTCGAGTGTTTGGGGGACCAGGATATGGCCGAGGCAGTGCCATTCACGTTCGCCATTCCTTCCGGGTCCGGCGTCCATGGAAGTCCACCGCCCAGGGCTGTACTCTCCCTGGATGATGATCATGGCGGCGGGTGTGTGGGCTACTCGCTCATTGCTAGAGATGCCCCCGCCTCACCAGGTCAGAGCGATTATTGGGCCACAAGGCCGAATAAGTAGCTTGGACCACGGGGACCGGTGCTCGGTGGCTTCACATGATATAGGGTTGACCCTACTTCATCACAGGCCGCCACCGCTGCCTTTCCGTGTGATGTCCCTGGATATCACGCCGCATGGCACTTTCCAAAGAGGACCATGTTGATCTCCTGGGAGCCCCCGTGTCCCTCACAGGATAAGGAGTAATCGCAGCGTGGCTGCTTCTTGCCCATCCCCAGAGGAAGAAACACTGTCGTACACTCCCCGCTGTAAACCCCAGTATAGGGAGCCAGCAGGTGGGCGTGTGCACGTGAATGGAATAAACCGAGTGCTGTCAAAGCACTGTGCGGGTTCAAGAGACGCTATTGCCGGTGTGCTGTTGTCAGAGAACACACCTTGCTTGGTATAATAGCTCCGATTAATGCATTTCACCGTTGAATGGGAAATACAGGGTTAATACGTGGCCGCGGTGTGTTCAGGGACCTCCGCAGGAGAACGGTGGTTTACGTTTGTAAACTAGTTCTAGAGTGATGCGTGTGTGGAAAAATGCATTCAGTAAAAACGATTGCATTTATCCCAGAGTAAGAGTCATCTCTCTCCACAATTCCACTTTTCCCCATAATGTCCGTTTCAAAGAGACGGCATTGTGGCGGGCATTGTGACGGGGGCTGCATAATGGCGTTACATTTTTTTTAACGCCACTAATTATTTTAACGCGATTAATGCATCGCCCCGTAGTTTCAGAGCGCATCGACTTTAAAATACCATCGACAAGCTGATGCTGACAACCCCGCTCCTGCTGCCCGCTTGCGGCAGACCACACTTCCACGCTCACCGGCAGGCACCGACTGGCCATCGGGAGGGTGTGTGTATGTGTGGCGCGAGCGAGCGAGAGACTTTACGTGTATTGTTGTTGTTAGCATCTGGTGCTAGCTAGCAGCGCTAACGGATATAAGGAGCTGTTTAAATGAAAACAGAGTGTATCATAGCTGGGGCCCCACAGCTGGGAGCTTGTCCCCTAACACAATGTTATGGGGAATTGAAACTCAGATGTGTGTTACAGTGTCGCCAGCAGGGGGGGGCCAGGGGGGGCCATGGCCACCCTGATATATTTGTTGGCCACCCCACCACACACACCGCCTCGCCAGTCACGTATGTGCAGTAGTTTATCTGATATTTAACAACAAATACACAGCCAGCGAGTCGCTTGATTTGAGCTTCCAACGCTCATACTGCAGCCCCTCCCTCTCCCTCTTCTACCATGGTAACACTCTGATACTCGGCGCACCACTCTTGACTTCAGGTATAATTCGTCTGTAAACACACTTTGGCGGCTATCCTAGTTAGCGTTAGTTTAGCTTGCTAAGCTAACGTTAACTGATGTCGGTATGCTGGGCTGGTGTAATGCGTAGGGTACTATTAATCACTGATGTGTGTAATGTCAATTTGCAGAAAATGAAGAGAAAGTCAACAGACATCTCTTCTTATTTGAAGAAGAAGATGAGTAAAGGAGAGACAGAGCTGGCAGGGGAGCAGCAGCATAGGGCTAGTGAGGAGATGGCCATACATGCTAGAAAGTACATGTGGAATTATGTGTTGTAAAAGTGAAACTAAAACCTAAGTACAGTTTTATTAATGTGATTGTGACCTTTGTAATCATTTAAGTCTTCTACACACTTTAGGTCTGCAGCTCCTTCAAAATGAAACGAGAATCTATGCAGTTTTTCCTCTTCTGTGTTCTGAGGTTATGAGCCGACCATTAGTCAAGTTTGTTTTCATAAACAATGCATGCTAATTAAAAAAAAGGGTAACCAGTTTGTTTATAAAGTATAAATAATAATGGAATACAAGCTATATGTATTACTCTCACCACAGTGGCCTAATCTAAAAAAAATAGAAATATGTCTCGTCACCTATTTTCTGTCTAATACTAAAAGGTGGTGTTTTGTATCATTTATGTTTTGAATTTGCTATAAAGGTCAATAATAGATGGTGTTTTTGTGTTCAATCACAGTATGTATTTACCATTTTATACCCCTTGTGTTTTTGGGTCCTGTTGAAATAAAATAGTCATGTTTTAAAACTTGATTTAATAAAGTCATGTCAATCATCTTTGATCCCAGTGTGACACAAACAGATTTGTTCAGTCTAAAACAATTTATAACCTCGAGACATAATATAACTGAAGAACATGTTGTGTCGCTGTTGTGTATTGTATGTGTTGAGAATGCTGAACATTTTGTGCCTTACAATAAAGGAACTTATTTTAATTAAGCTGTATTTGTCTTTTTAAAGGAAAGAACAACTAGCATATATAAAAAACAAAACAATAAATCACCAACACAAAACAAGGTTCTTTTAAATGTTGTTTGAAGTAAAATGTTAACTATCTGTATTATATTCACTTCAGATGAATAGTATCAGAAAATGTAAAATAAGAAACCAAAGTGTATCAGTAGGTGATTCTCTTTGCCATTGTTTTCATCTAGTCTATACTTTTACAACAATTAAATTCTTGGTTTTGGTGGGCCACCCCAAGATTTTCAGTGGCCCCATTTGGCCACCCCTATGAAAAATGTCTGGTGTGTTAACCTCTTAAGGACGACTTTTTTTTCGAGACTGTGTCTCAGGGCTTAACATTTATGAAACTATTAATGTTCCATACTCTTTTAACGGGAAGAAACTCCGCTAACTGACAATATGAACCATTTTTAGCTAAAAGAAACACAAGAGTAATACCAAGCCTTTGAATTAGCCTTGAGCGAAAAAATGCTAACTTATGCTAACAGACTTTGCACATAACTCACGGTAGAAATGCCCTTATTACTTATCTTAACTGCACAAACAAAATATCGACTAGCAAGCTGAGATTCCACAGATTCCATACATGTAATGTCATCACTGTACGAGCTATCAGCCAGAACATAGCAAGAAAATATCCGGTTTCAAAACCATAACAATAATTACGTCGTCAAATCTTTGATTTGTGATCAAAAGTTGTGTTCAACGGAATAAAAACGCCGCTCAAGGTTAATCCAATGTCTTTGTGTCACGTAGAAATGTTTACTGATAATCCATCATTACATTTATGGCGATATACTGAGTATAACGTTTTGCAGTCCAGGGCTTGTACTTTCAGATATGCTTCGTTGCATCTCTATCACGTCCGCAATGGTAATGTTTACGTGGATTTGGGAACTGCCCATTGATTCTATTGGATCTAATGGTTAAGAAAACTGTGTAAATCACCCAAATCGACCCATGGTTTCCAGAGATAAGGTCCTGTGTAAAGTATAGAGTGGCAAAGTCACCAGTCTTGGATTTTCATCATTTTAGGGGCAAGGCCATTTGGCCTTTGGTGTCACACATTTTTTCAGGGCGCAAAGGCCACATGCCAGGGCACAAAGGCCATTGAGGGAAACATTTGGATTTGGAGCTTACGAATAAATAACTTCACTTTCTGATAAGAAAAACACACGAATGACATGGAAAACAAATCACTTTTTTAATATCAATAATGTCAAACATGATATCATATAGGCCTATGCCTCCTTAGTATTACCGTATATAAAATGAAATACTCTACTTTGAATAATTAGTGTTTGGTATTTTTTCCATCTACTACTTCACCCATTCACAAATCCAAAATCAAATCAAAAAATCAAAAATTATATTAATATGTAACAAATATATTCCATTTCAGAGCAGAAGAAACAGCCTTCAACGGTCAAACTCTGCACATACATCATTCAGCAGTGCACAGTGAAGGTCCAACATTAAATACCCAATATTAGCGGTGTGTGTGTGTCTGCCCAAGGACAAGTTAAGGTAAAACCTAATAGAGGTGTCATACATAATAACCTAATAAAAGTAAATGTAACAACTACTACAGTGCAACAAAACAGGAATATTAAATGTGGTCTCTTAAACATAAGATCTCCAGCATCTAAAGCAATATTGGTAAATGATTTAATATCAGATTATAATATTGATATATGCTGTCTCACTGAAACTTGGTTGAGACATGAAGAATATGTCAGCATAAATGAGGCCACTCCACCCAGCCATATCAATACTCATATTGCCCGAGGCACGGGCCGAGGAGGTGGAGTTGCAGCAATCTTTGACTCAAGTTTGCTTATCAATACTAAACCAAAATTAAATTATACCTCCTTTGAAAGTCTCGTTTTTAGTCTTACGCATCCGACCTGGAAAACTTTGCAGCCAATCTTATTTGTTACAGTGTACCGTGCACCAGGTCCTTATTCAGAATTCCTATCTGAATTCTCTGAGTTTTTATCAACTTTGGTTCTTAAAACAGATAAAGTAATGACTAGGTACTAGGTGACTTTAATATTCATGTCGACGATGATAAAAATAGCCTTACTGTTGCATTTAACTCTATATTAGATTCTGTTGGTTTTTGTCAGAGTGT